TCTCTAAAATTTACAGGTTTATACAAGGCTTGAATCTTTAGAATTTAGTTTGAGATTCTTTAACGCATAATGCAAATAGTTTCGCAACTTTTGGTTGGATCTTCAGAATTTTAATGAATAGCGCCATAATTTTCATGACCCAAAGACATGTTTATCTTGAATCTTTAGAATCTGGTTGGAATCTTTTTTAATGCATAATGCAATAGTATCGCAACTTTTGGGGATTTCACAACACAAAAATATGTTTATCTTATAAAACTTCCTATTTTACTATAACTATGACTAATGATTTTTTTTTATTCTTACCTAATTTTCAAATTACTAATGTTACAATATATTGGGCGGCAAATTTTGTGCAATTAGCACAAAAGTAAATCAGGCTCCAACTGGCATCATGTAATTCCTGATATGAATCTGATTTGAAACAGGTAATTAGCAGGTATAGGAGACTTTTAAGATACAAATTGGGCTCATATTCGCGTTCAATACATATCGGAATGCTGATAGCTTTATAGAAAGCTTGGCATTCTGATATTTATTGAACGCCTATATGAGCCTGATTTGTATCTTAAAAATATCCTATATCTGGAATTACATGATGCCAATTTACTTTTATTCAACCTGTGTAGTTTATAAATTTGTGTTTTATATACTCTTTTGAACTATATAATCAATTACTTTTTATTTTTTTAATGACCTCTTTTTTTTGTTACCTGAATTTGGTAATTTCTAATATCAGGTTTCATATTCGATAGTGATGGGATCATTTCTTGTTATCTAAATTTAGCAACTTCTAATTCTATAGCAGATCTCACCTTCTATTATATATTCTACGATTTTTTGTTTGATCTTGTTTTTATATCAGGATATGAGTGTTGTCAAGTTGAAGTTTGTAAATGTAAAACCTGTACATGTGAATAATTTTCATGAACTTGAGTACTGGAAAATTAAATCACATGCTATATACAATCGGTTAATCTTACGTGGTCAACAAGTTAAATAATAAAATAAAATTTAAATTTATTAATATTTTCTTTACTTTTAATACAAATAGCAGATAAAGAAAT